CAAAAAGGTCATATTGAGCTTCATTTTGTTCCTACAGAAGAAGAGACTACAGATGTGTTCACAAAAGCTCTGGATGAATCAAAGTTCTTACACTTTCTAGGACGACTTGGCATGCTTAATCTAGATTCTCTAGGCATTTGAATTTTTTTTTTCATTTTTTAAAAAGAAAACTCCAAAAATATTTTATTTTCTAATTTATTGTATTTTTGCTTTGCTTTTCCATAAAAAAATAATAATAATATTTTTTTCTTTACATAAGAGAAAACTACAAAAAGATTTTATTTTATGTATTGTGTCTTTACTTTAAACAAAAGAAAATACCAAAAAGATTTTATCTTTATTTTTGTTAGGAAAATGCAAGTTGTCATCACAACTATGCAAATGAAGAAGGTTAGTTGCTCCACACTTTAATGATTTTTCAAAATACTAAATTCTGTGGTTCTTCAGTTCGCTTCAGTACACAACTAATATTGGTACTTCAGTGACCATTAACAAGCTTCATGGTTATACTCTACTTAGAGTTATAACATACATTAAGTACTAATGTTATGTGGGATAATTTGAGGCGAACTCTAAGGTTTAGTTAAGCCAATGTGTTATAGTATATTTGTGGCTTCCCTGTCCTAGTGAACTCATGAGACAAAAACGCGAACTTGTGTAGTTTGAGGGACATAAAAAATTTTGCTTTGTGAATATCTATACCCAATAAAAAGCTTCTTAGTTAAAACAAAGAGAGTCAAGTTCCAAGTATATCTGTTTAATTTCTACACTTTGAGTCTAGTTATATATTCAATAAGTTATAGTTCGGGAGTGGAGTCAATCTGTAACCTATGAAAACTCGGCCAGTAAACCCCACGGGATATTGAAAATCTGTCCACCTGCAGTACATTAACGCGGATCGGACCGGGAAGAATTCCGCTACATGGGTTTTCATAGAAAGTCATGGACTCCATTAGTGACCTAAGAGATTCCGAGCACTCCAATGAATTTCTTAGAAAGTCACGAACTAAAGTGCAAATAGAAGTAAAGCTAAGAATTATTTGCTTGTGTACTTTGTCAAAGTTAGAGTTATAAGAAAAGATTCATAAACAAAAAAAAAATCAAATAAAAAAAATCAAAAAAAAAAATCTAGTTATATTCTTAGGTCAACTATTATATATACTATTTTTTTTTAAAGTCGTGTCACTTGGAATTTGGCGATACCTTTTGAAACAAAAGAAGTAAATGAAAAGGTATAGGTGGTAGGAATGCCAAAAATGAATGTTGTTCAAAATAAGTGGGGGAACGTTTATGAGGATTGTCAGTATTTAGGGCTTGGGAAGTAACTAGGCCTTAGACACAAATATACGCATTGCGGTGAGACATAATTAGTGAGTACAAATCAGGTTATTCTGTGTGATGTTAAGGAATTCAAAACATAATAATCCACAAGGGAATTCTTTACAATGCGAAGTGAAGAATCAAACACATAATTTAGTTGCTTGATAAATCTGTAAGTAACAGCAGATAATCCTCAATGTCTCTAATTCAGTCAATAAGTGTTTCCTTAAAGTTCTTGTTTCCACATGCACACACTTCACTGCATTTTACTATTTCCTTCTCAGATTCTCTATCCATATGCACACACATTAATTTCAAAGTTAGATTATTCAGTGTTTGCACTTTTATACTTTCTGTTTAACTCATGCCTTAGAATATAGGTAAAGCAGCTAAGTAAGATAGAGAATATCACTTACTTGATCATGGAACATCCTTAGCCAAGTGAAGCATCTTATGACAATAGATCGTCCTCTTCAAGAAAACCATATGTGTTTGTCTTGGTTTATGGAGCATTCTTGTACATTGTGAAGAAGTTCAAAATCAAAAGCCTTAAAGAACCATCTTGAAGCAACGTCGTGCTCTTGGACCAATATGGAACAGCTTCAGGAACATGGACCAAATTTGAAGCAACAACATAAAACTTGAGGCATCTTGGACCATCTCCTCATCTTTGGACCAAATGGACGAATAAATGACGCATCTTCATCAACTTGATCATCTTGATCATCTTGACCATCTTGAGGCATGTTGGACCATCTTCATCAAATTGATCATCTTGAGGCATCTTGGAATATCTTCATCATCTCGATCAACTGGAAGTACCTCGGAGAAACTTCACCAAATTAAAAGATCTTGATCACTTGGTCCGGTTTGGAGCATCGTCAGTCTTTTGGAGCATGTTCAAAAACGTTGGACCATGCTCAACAACATTGGAGCATAATCAAGAACATTGGCTCATGATCAACAGCTTGAAACATCTTCAGTTACTTGGTGTATAACGCCCATGTGGCTCATTAAGTCCACATAGAGCATAATAAATGTGCCATGCACGTTTCCAATAGGTCATACACGTTTTAATGAGCCATGCATGTTTCAAGTAGGCCATGCACGTGTCACGTATGTCATGCATGTTTCGAGTAGATCTTTCCTTAGGCGCCATGCACGTCTCAAATATAACATCCATGCATTCACCACCTTTTTTTCTTTTTCTTCATTCTCAAGGCATCATTCTCGCGCTCGCGACTCAAGTTGAAATTCTCCTATTTATACTTGAGTACCATCCAAGCCTTATGGGCCCTCATGTTGGCCCATGCAAGCCCTATTTCGGCCCATTGAGAAACCCTAGAACCCTTCAACTATAAATACCTCACTTCTACTTCTCATTCTTGCTTTTTTACTCTCTCACAAATTCTTACTTTCATACCCGCTTGGAGCAACAAGGCGTCGTGAGCAACAGTCGCGTATGCAACATGCAACTAAAGTTGGTGAGCAAGAAGCAGCCTTGGCACAACAACAAGTTTGGCTCAACAACCTACCTATTTTCGAAAATCCTCTCTTGAGCCACAAGTTTTTCTCAAAACCCTAGTTTGGCTCAACCACAACCCAATTTTCGAAAATCACCACTTGAGCTACAAGTCATTTGTTGTTGCAAAACCCTAATTTGGCTCAACAACCTACCTATTTTCGAAAATCCTCTCTTGAGCCACAAGTTTTTCTCAAAACCCTAGTTTGGCTCAACCACAACCCAATTTTCGAAAATCACCACTTGAGCCACAAGTCATTTGTTGTTGCAAAACCCTAATTTGGCTCAACAACCTACCTATTTTCGAAAATCCTCTCTTGAGCCACAAGTTTTTCTCAAAACCCTAGTTTGGCTCAACAAACCCTAATTGTGATCAACAAGGATTTTGAATGCCTTCTTGAGCCAAACCCTGATTTCGAAATTCCTCTTGAGCCATCACTAGTTTCGAAATTCCTCTTGAGCCATTCATGATCAACAAGGTTTCTGTGCCCTCTTGATCATCAAGTAAATTCGAAATTCCTCTTGAGCCAACCCTAATTTCGAAATTCTCTCTTGATCATCAACAACTTTATCTTGATCATCAAGTAAATTCGAAATTCCTTCTTGAGCCCTAATTTCAAAATTCCCTCTTGATCATCAACAACCTTATCTTGATCATCAAGTAAATTCGAAATTCCTTCTTGAGCCAACCCTAATTTCGAAATTCTCTCTTGATCATCAACAACCTTATCTTGATCATCAAGTAAATTCGAAATTCCTTCTTGAGCCAAAATTTCGAAATCCTCTCTTGATCATCAACAACCTTATCTTGATCATCAAGTAAATTCAAAACCCTTATCATGTCCTATATATACTCATTGCTCCATCCTCTTGATCATTCACTAAATCTCGTGATCATCAACAAGAGTATTCACCACTCTTGAGCCAAAAAAAACCCTCTTGATCATCAAAAAGATTTCGTGATCACCTCTTGATCCTCACTCAAGTTTCGAAACCCACTTGAGCCACCTTCAAATTTCGAAACCCTTCTTGATCCACCTTCAAGTTTCGAAACCCTACTTGATCAAGTCTCAAATTTCGAAACCCTACTTGAGCCACCTTCAAGTTTCGAAACCCTACTTGATCATGACTCAAATTCTGAACATCTAGTGAGCATCAAAGTCTTGGAGCAACATCAATTGATCTCATCATCATCTCTTGAGCCAATCACAACCCTAGGTGAGCATTTTTTTTAAAACCCTAATTCATGTTTTTTTTAACCCTAGATCATTTTTTTTCTTTGTCTTGTACAAACCCTAGTTTTCTTTTCTTTTGGATCATCATCAACTACTTGTTGGAGAATCATCATTCAACCTCTCTTGTGTGGATCATCTTCAAAATCTAGGTAAGCATCACTATTCTTTTGTGAAACCCTAGTCATCACAAATCCACCTCATTAGCATTATCATATGCTACATGTGTATTCTTTTCTCTGTACATCATAGTCAACTTAACATTGATTATTGAATTGTCATGTGTTTAGTGTTTATCATCACGTGGTCTTTCATCATTTTATGTTGAGCACCACATTCCTTGATCACTCTAGGTAAGTGTTCATTCCTTTTCTTTACACTCTATGATGATCATGATGTACACCTTTTAACGTTTTATTTTCTCTTGACATAACATAGATTTGCATATCTCATGTGTCATTTGTGTTGACTTATCTCTCTGTCACTCACTAATTCAACAAGACATCAACTGGTAAGTAACTTCTCTCTCACATGTGCACATATCCTCATATAATAAAGTTACAAACCCCCCCCCCCCCCCCCTCCCTTGGTTGATGATTCATGACTATGCATATGTTCCTATGGTCAGGTTACCCTAGTATTGGATTTCACTTCTTCTAAGTGAACATCTCTTCTTGTTGCAATCATATTGAGTAAGTATTTTTTTTCTCTTTCAATTTTTTTTATTTTTATTTATTTATTTATTTTTATTTTTATTTTTTTTCCTTTTTTTTCTTCTTGATCAATAACTCATCTTCACGTACCATGCTTAGGTTATTTAGTGTTGAGTCTTTGATCAAATCTTTCCTGTGAGCATTATACTTATTGGTGCATATCTTGCTTTTCATACTCACACGTCTATTACCTACACCCATCTTCTTTAAGATATGGCTTCCAAAGAAGATGGACAGACTTCTAAAGCAAAGTCTTCTCCTAAGGCTTCACACTCTCACGCGAATAGACCTTCAACTGAGACACACTCGTCATTACCTAAAGTTGAAATGGCTGCATCAAACTATACTGCACTCCTTAATATTGCGGAACAACCCAAAGAAGTCGGAGTTATAATTGAATATCTGCAACAATACCCATTGGCATATGCGCTCCTCTCTACTTCTTCAATTCCTCAATATCTTATCTCAGAAGTAGTTCCAACTGCAGTCATCTCCCCAAGAGCAAAGTCCAAACAGTTTGATGTTGAATTTGATCTTTTTCAAACTACATTGGTTCTCCCTAAAGAAGAGTTCTCATCTATTTTAGGTCTACAAGATAATTCAAGTCAACCTAAGACATTCGTCACACCGACTTCTGCTCAATTGTTGACTATGTTCAAAAACATGGGGTACAAATTTGAAGACAACTCTGAACCATGTCTCTCAAGAAATAAGAAATCCTGCCTTCCCACACCATGGCACTTTCTTACTTTCGTCCTCACTCGATGTCTTTTGGATCAGTTGGTGGACACAGTCGCGGTAAAACAGATCTTTGGATTCTTGTGTATGGGCTCTTCTATGATGTCAATGTTGACTACGTGTCTATTCTTTGGGACGATTTCCTTAACTTTCTCCCGGCCTCAAAGAATAAGTTCCTCATTCATCATCCTCGCTAGTGGTTAATCATTCTTCATAATGTCATCAATAATAGCAATCTTACAACAGATGGGATTCCAGAAGGCCCAAAGCCACAATTCTTGTGTATGACCCCATATAGGATGAGAACTGCATCTACATCTGAGTCTTCACATCTAGTCATCATTCCAGATACTATACTTGCAAAAATAGATGCAAATAGTGCCTCTCTACGTTCATATCAGAAATACATCCAGGGAACTATCTCACCTCCCAAAAAGAAGAGGAAGCACTCAGATCATGCATCCAAGAAGTTGGCTAAAAAGAAGAAGCGATCAAAGTCCGTTCCACAGCCTCCTATTCCATCCCCAGACGTCTCTGATGATACTCATGAAGCAGAATTAGATAATCCCATGTCTTCTCCTAAATCTGTTTCACCAGCACACGTTCAGTCGGTTCTAGAAAGTCCAAACCATCGTGTCTCCTTGGGTTATGACTCACTTGACGATGATAACCAAGATGATGATAACCAATCCAAACCTGAAACTTTTACTCAAGGTTCTCCTGTACAAGATAATCATGATGAGGATACTGCAATACAGACGGTAGATATCCCTTCCAGTGAAGGACTGATAGTCGATGATGAGACAAGTGACATGTCTATTGTCCTTTACTCCAATGCATCTGCCAAAACTTTCAGCATTGATCTTGATGACTACTCTCCTCCAACTCGAAAAGAGTCTCAAGAAACGGATGACGTTCCTGACCCAACTCTATCATCCTTTCAACAAGATCCTCTTCAGGACGACGGTACTCCCAAAGAAACAGATGAAGCCAATACCATAGAACCGCAGTCTGAGCGCATCAGACTTACTGCCCAAATGGTAGCTGATGGTATTGCAGAGATTCGCTTTCACACATCTTCTCACTCTAAATATCTGTAGAGCTTTCAAGAAAATCTCGAACGTATGGAAGAAAACATGTGTATCCTCAATGAGAAAACAGAAGCACGGGTCACATCACTTCAAGTCACTATTGAAGACTTTGAAGGCACAGCCGCTTATATCAAAGGACAAGTTGCTCGCAACATGCGGAAAATTGACACTCTAGAGCAGAAAATTCATAACACTATTGAAGCCTGTCACTCTCCGATTACTCAGAAGATAGATGACTTCATTCAGTCCTTATCCAATCTAGAGTCCGTCTATGAAGCTAAATTAGATCATATGCAGAATCATGTTACTGCTCAAGATCGCTATATCTCCACTCTTGAGAAGTCCATTGCTTAACTATCTAAAGCTTCTGAATCATCCTCCACCTCTCCCTTTCAGGCGTTCAGTGAGCAAGTTCAACGTCAACTGGATTCGTTAAGCTCTGACATAGCAAATCTATCCAAATCCAATTCTGAGAAAATCAATAGCTCATCTAGTGACATATCTTCCCTTCAGAAGACTGTTCAGTTGCTTGTCGATGAAGTCAAGGCTATCAAGCAACAATCTTCCTCTTCAGATCTATGCGCTCTTCAACAAAAGGTTGCATCAACTGATTCCAAAATTGACTTGATCTTAGCAAAACTATCTGGTTCAAATGAGAGGCCACCTGAACCAGAGGGGGAAAAGGTCCATAAGACCAGATCAAGTCAGTCTCCTGTTATTCATGATATTCCAGACTCACCAAATGAGTTTGAGAAAAGGAGACAAGATAAATTAGAGTCACTTGATAAAATGGCCGCTGATGCACGATTAAAAGCTCAACAGAACAGAGCAAAGATAGCTGAGAAAGAAAAGGAACTCGTTCGACGACAAGGGATCAAAGATCCATCTCTAAAAGTTCCAAGAAGGAAAGATGTTAACTTCTCCAAACCTGTCACCATATCAGAACCAATCACTCAACCAAAGCTTCCTCAAACTGATCTTCAGGATAAGGGAAAACAGAAGATTATCTTCAAGTCAAAGAAGGAATTAGCTAAAGAAGATCAAATGGAGATAGATGAAGAATTAGCTAAGCAACTGAAGGCTAAGGAATTAAAGTCTAAACAAGAGATGCTTCTCAAAAAAGAAGTCTTCAGAGATCTCGTCTGAAGAAAGGAGTACATGGCATGATAAAGAATTTAGAGTGTCATCACCTAAAAGAACCATCTTCTTTAACCCTGATAGAGATTCTTATCAAAAGATCAATGTCATCAAACCCACAAAGTCCTTCACACCTCCCTCAGACCTCACTAAAGAAAACTGGGATATTCCGGCACCACCGAATGGCATGAAGTTCAATTTATGGCCAAGTGCAATTTATCCAGTTGAGCCAGATGTAGACATTGAAGAGGTGAAGAAAAGATTCTTCCTGAAGAAACCAACTCAAGTTGTCTCTGTATGGTCAAAGCTCAAGATTGCTTCAATTAGCAAAATTGACATATGAAAATTCAGAAAAATGCCATATGCATTCTTTCAAGGAAAAAGGACAGACAACTCTGAATTCATGTTTTCTGAAGCTGATTTCCCTAAAATAAACCAAGCTGATATCAGATCACTAATCATTTGGTTGAAACAAAGGGTGAGTACAGATAAGGCTTATGCAGATGTTCTACAACGCCTAAGGCAATATGTGCTCGACATGGTTATTGATTTTAGTGTTGACTGGGAGATTGGACAGCTAGGAGAAAAGGAAGCTGAGGAACCAAAAATCTGGATCTAAATATGGAGAATGAGTCGCCTGGGAACATTTTAAAGAAACCACACAGAGGTGTGGTATTCTCTTCTAAAGGTCGACTGAAGTTCATGAGAATCTCACAAAAACATTTATTCTCTTATGAATTCATTAAAGGCATCATTGGCTTATTGAAGAGAACTGGAGATCAAGATGAATCGCTGAGAGTGAAGATCATTGAAGAACTTACATGGTTTTTAAGTTTTCGACAGTGGTTAATAAACTTGAGAAACAAAGTTTAGATTATGTGTTTTTGGTTTATTTTTCTGAACATGTGAACGATGTTTGTTTTTTACTTTTCTTTTTGCTACTAGTAGTTTATTTTTTTAAAAATTTCATCTTGCATGTTATTATTTATTTTTTTTACTCCTTATTTCAGTAACCATCACATAGGGGGAAACTGTTGGAAAATATTTGTATGTGATTGTAACTTGAAATAAGTTGAGTCCTTTTATATATCTCTCTAACAAACATTATCAGAATGTTTCAGGTTGGAAAGATACTGAAGATTTAACAAGTGTTTGAAGAATCAGATGTTGGAGCACTTGAAGTTGAACATGGAGCACCTGCTGTACACATGGAGCACTTGCTGTTGACATGGATCGCTTGCTGAAAGCTAGTTGGATCATCATGATCTCAAATGGCACATCTAGATCATATGTGCAGCATCAAGACATGGATGAATCATTTGGAATATTGATGGCTCATCAGAAACATTGTTGACTCATCCACAACTCTATGACTCAACAAGAGTTGATGGCTCAACAAGAACACTTGGTGGCTCAACTCAAGTCAATGGATCAACATGATCACATTGATGGCTCAACAAGGTTGCACATGACACATCATGTACAATGAAGGCACGTCCAAATGTATCCAAAGGAACATGAATTTCGTCCATGACCCATCATGAACATGTGGTGGTACATCTTCAAGTTCAAGACAAAGTCCAACATTCAAGAAACTACTCAACATGATCAACAACACTTCTGGAAGTTGATGACATATAAGAAGACAATTGAGCAACATGATGCTCATGTTGCTCATCACTTTTTCAATGTTGATCAAGAAGGTTCAATAATTATGAAGACTCATAACTTGGATGGAACCCTAACGGAATACTAACGGGATTGGAATATTATATCCATTCTCCGTTAAGTAGGGCAAAGGTGTCAACTGGTGACTAAGTCATGATGACGTGTCAACACCTGATTGGTCAAGCCATGTCATGGGCTTTTCCAAAGCCTATAAATAGGCCCCTTGGGATCCATTATAAAATTGCTCTTTCTAGCTCTTTTCTTATCATTCCTGCTCATTCTGCACAAATTGCTGCCTAGACTAGTCTTCAGAGAGCCATTTGAGAGTTTTAGTGTGTTCTATATTCAAACACTTGTAATTGAATCTTCATGAATATGAGAAACATTTGAATCATTGATCTTGAACATTAAAAAAACGTTTTTCTATTAATTTGATTGATTCACAACTCTTTATTTTCCGCACTACTTGCCACTTGACGATTCTGAAACTCTGTTTCAGTATTTTCAACACTTGGACTATTCTAGTCTAGGTTTACTGAATTTTTCTAATTTCTTCACCTATAAGTCACACAATGACTTGTTCTCGAATTATATTGGTATCATTCATCATGCTCTAAGAATACGACTTATTTGGCCTTTATGCATAATCATGACATATATGATTAATCCATTTGCATCATTATACCGAATACAGTCATATTATCTAGTTCAAAAACATTTGCTCTAGGATTTTGCTCAAAATCATGTCATATGGTATTTGACAAGATGACTCTCTAAGAGTCCTTTATCTTAAGCTCCTTTAAGATCCTTGACAATTAATGCAATTGTACTTAATCCTTTAAGTTGCCATGATCTATCTATATAGATCCTTATTCCATGAATTAATATGTCGACTACATATAACATTAGGAATGTTACTGCGCTCCCACTAGCTTTGTAGAAAACATCAGAGTTATATTGATTTATAATCAAATCACACTATGTAATTATCTTATAAGAAAGAAGATTCTTACTTTGATATGTTAGCTTAAATCTTGGAAAGATTTTCATTAATGTATGTCTTCTCCCTTGAAAACTCACTTACTCTTTATAGTCAAACTATATCAAGGAAGATTAATCAAGCCCATACTTGATAGGCATACATGAATGCATCTCTATGTGTTTTATTAGTTTCTGATCAACCATTGAGCAAATTCAACAATAGTTGAAAACATGCTAGTTCCAAACTATGATGCATTTAGTTTATGGTTCTTAAGCTCTTAAAGTTCCATATAGATCCCACTTAAAAAAAACACTTTCTAATCACTTGTCTTATGGAATGACAATTAGTGGGATTAGTAGAAACTTCATCCTAAACAATCATTTAGGATATTCTACATGAATGCAGTTAGTAGATGCTAGAGTGGTTAAGCTTATTGTTTAACATAAGCTCTATAACTCTATACCTTTTAGATAAGGATAAACCATTTTATCCTTAGCCTAATACAAGCATCTAATCCACTTGTTTGGTTGGAAATATATATTCAATATATATTTGTTGCAGTGAGCATAAATCCAAAATTTTAAAAAGTAAATAGTTCTTTTAAAACATCATATAATAGACTACAAGGTCTATTTTTATCCTCTTCAAAACTTGTACTATCGACATTCAGCTAGTGGCTAGGTGACCCTATCCCACTAGAGAATTCAAAGGCTACCTCGAATATCAGAAGATAGATTCAAGTGACCATGTGATCCTATGCCACAAGAAACATACTAATGACAAGTGAATGTTTTTGTTGGAATGAGTTGTGAATCGATTCCACAATTCCTAAGATGTTCCAAGAAGACTTGGTTTAAAAAACTCATTTTCTTTATCATAACGAAAGGTTAATGATGGTCTCATTAAGTCGTATTTCAATCTTCACTATGAAAATTTTGATCAAATCAAAAGGGTTTCATCAACGACGAATAAAAGTCGTCAGTGAAATTGATTAAGTATCTATCACCAAATCTATTCATGGATTGAAAAAGATTACAAACATCACTTATGTATAACTCTTTGTCAAGCCTTTTTGTTCTTTAACTACTAATAGATAAAGACACTTATGAATCGTTTTCCAATATAAATAGGATCCACATATATCAAATGAATCAAGATAATTTGCCTTCAAAAAAATTCCATCCTTTTTGAAGTTGGTATATGTATTTCTTATTTATATAGT